TATATCCCGGGTACCTATTCGAAATTATAAATAATATATTATATAATATCAATTTAGTAAATAAGGTAAGGCGGCTCTATATTCTAAAAAACATAGTCCTAATTATATTAAACGTAGTATATAACGAGAAGTATTATTTCGGGAGAAATAGAATAATATATAACTTTAAAGAGTATATTATTATAAGAAAGATATAAATTATTAAAAACTACGTTTAATATTACCCAATATACCAATTTAATTATACTAATAAGGAAGTTATAGTAGGGGACTATTAATTAATAAACTCCGAATATACCCTACCTATAAAGACTATAACTTTAAATTTCATTATTAATTTACTTAAAGTATTAATATCGGGAATACTATAGTACTTCGCCGGATTTAATTTCTTCAATACCCTCATACCAATCTCATACTATATATCTAAGAAATACCGCCTTATCCCAAGCTATTGTACGTATATAGCCGAAAATTAGGGTAGAATATTAGCTAAGGATTTAATTTTAAGCGATTAGGATTTTCTATAAAATATTATATTTAACCGAAATCGTAAATTTACATCAAAAATATAAAAAGGTATATAGGCTATAATAAATACCAAACTTTTAATAACCACTACCTACCACCTATAAAGCAATAATATAGCTAAACGCCGAAATTGAAACGTAGCGATAACCATCCGCTTTTATTATTATATAATTCTAAAATCTAATTAAGTAGAAATATTACCTAATCTCTAATAAAATATAAATAGTACATACTTAAATCCTATTAAATTATCCCCGTACGAATAATTGTACGGCTTTAAATTATTCGGTCCATTGGATATTATTACAAAAAAGAATATCCTTAGGACTTTTAAATAATATTAAATATTAAAAAACGGATTAAAAAAGAACGCTTAATTGGCTATAGTATTCGCGGCTATAAAAGTAAAGAAATAATACGATAGTAACTATTAATAAATCTCCTTTTCAGTCGGAAATAAAATATTCCTTAAATTATATAAAAGATATTATTTGCTAGGTCGCCCATTTAGAAAGTTCTCGTAATAATATACCGGGCTATTTACTATTATTAAATATATTAGTAATTTAACTTATTAATTAGATTTACCCCCGGAAATAATAGTCTACTTAATTATTTTAATAATATACCTTAAGCGGGCACCTAACGGCAACGATCTATTCAATTAAATAAAACTACTACCTAGTCTAATCGAAAATAATTAGCGGGATTCTAATAACGAGGATAGGGAATATAGAATAAATATAATATTAAATTACGCAGAGGATAAGAAAAATAAAAGTTAAAAATATTTAGTAAAATAAATTAGCTATAGTTATTATTAGAATAAATACCTACCCGAGAAAGAGATAGGGAATATAAAAGAATTGGTTGTAGAGTATTGGGAGTATTTAGAAGGACTTATAAAAGTTAAAACCGGAAGGAGAAGGAAGGTCTATTTTAAATAAGATAAATTAGAAGCGCCGGCGGTGCGTGAGGCTCCCGCTTATAGCAGGAATCTGAGACTATATTAGAAATAAGGGTATTTATATATATATAATAGATAGACTACTAAGGATAGTAATATTTTATTTTAGTGGCCGGGATTTAATACTAAATTAGTATTATTAGCATTATTATATATCAAATCACCTGACTGGATAGCCTAACCCGCTCGGTCGGGTTCATTCAATTGAATGAACCGCTCCCACGGGAGCCCACCCACGTATGTGGGACCTATAGATTAGATAAGGCTTGCGTACCTTAAAATTAACCGACTGTACGTAAGCTTCCTACTCTAGATTCTTATTAGAGCATTATCTTACACATATTCAATCAGACACATATTATTGTCACAATGTTCAAATACCCTCTCAACGGTATTAGTATACTAAGAAACTCTTTCTCTCTTATTAATACTACTTCTTTTTATCCTCTTCATTCTTACCTTCCTTTGGAAACTAAGTAAATAGAGTATTTTTTTTATTACTTTTTTTCCGGTAGAAAATTTAGGGGGGAAAATGAGACGGAAGTTACTCTAAGGGGTAAAGCGATGACTCCAATCCGATTTGATCTATTTTCGGAGGGCGGCCTTTTGGGGAGTCTTAAGGAGGCCTTTTTTTAGAAGCTTTTTTTAGGGAGTAATAGGGCTAATATATACCTATTGGACCTGCCGGATAGTGAACCCTAGTTTCTGAGCGATATTAGTGTAACTGAAGTTGCTAATATTTCGTAGAGTCTGTACTTGAAGTTGTTCATCCCTAGTTAACCCCCGGGCATTCTTTTTAGGGGTAGAAGGATTTAGGAGGTTAATAATAGTAATACTTTGTAATATTGGGGAATAAAGAAGGGAGGTAGAGAGAAAAGATAGGATGAATTGGCTTCTTAGGTATCAATTAGCTCTTAGAAATCCTTCTTTTTATATAAAGGTATTTTGCCACGGAAAGTTTTAGGTAGTGTACTTCCGGATATACCGGAGTTTCCTTTGCTACCTAAAAAATAAAGTATTGCCACCCCCAGAAGGATCTACCAATTCCCACGCTAACAAAGTAAATGCCTGCAGAGGTGTATGTCGGGCCTTGGTGCTGTTTCCTGATAACCTTCATTGATGTGATGGAAGACGTGTATAGCAAGGAGGTGGAAAACCGCTTGTTCAAAATGTATGGACGTTAAATCATGTGGTACTCGATGCTTGGAACGTTTGGCGTCAAACATAATTCTGGGCGCAAGAATGAGGTACCCGCACAGTGCATATTTCGTTGCCGCTGTGATCAGGTACAGTTTGAGTCCGCGCGATCTCACTTGTCATGATGATCGTCGTCAAGACCCTCACGCACGCCATAGCCGTGCCGTGGTGAAGTGCATATGAACACTGCTGGCTGGTTCATGATCTCTCCTCCCACCCACGACTACGCCAAGGACCATGTCATCCTAACAAGTACTCTGCAGTACTCGATCTCATACCCCCAAAGCGCGGGTTATGGAGGATCACTACCACCTACCTAGCTGAATACCACGTATTGCAAGTTGCCAACGGGGTGGAATCAGTCAAGGTGTCCGTCAAGGGCCTGATGGTTTGCGGGAAGAAGTCCGACGGTGACGGACGGCGCGGTTACATTGCCTCCTTCAATCTTTCTTAGCGGAGTCCTCAAGAAGTGGGATCTCAGCACCAAACCAGCAGCTCGATTCCTTGGAGACGGCGGTACGACGGCATGTAGAAGCACAGGCTGGCCTATCTCGCACAACCTTCGCCTGCAGTGAGCAATCCCGCAGTTTCGAACGGGTTCGAGTAGGTACCTATGCAGGGTGAGCGGGCTGGAAGGTGAGAGTGAGAATGAAAAAGGAAGGTTTCTGTTTCTTATTTTCACATGCTTTGACAACGATGGAATTCGTTGTTTGCATAGGTTGATCGTGGATCACACTCTGCGTGTTATAGCGGCAGTCAAACAGAAGCACTTGCTCCATTTGGAATCGCGCAAGCATCCTCGCCGAAGGTGCAACCTCAGCTGGAGTGGGGTGGGGGTTGTCCTCGATTGGATGATAGGTTTCATCCAAAATGGCTTTTCATCCTTCAGTCTTCCTTCAGTTCCCCCGTATCTGGTCCTCTCCTCTGTTAACTTCCCTTTCTGGCCCATGCCGTTGAGGTTTCGCATGACGAAGGCACTACCTGACCGAGGTGCGTCTTTCACACCCAAGACCAAGTGCAGGATTACATTTGCCTCACTATCAGTCTGTAGTCCCGCCCTGCCACCCCGCTCAATCCTAGGTAGTGTAGAGAGATGCGTAGGTACCGACGCATGCGACACTTTCTCGAGACACCGGTCTCCCATTCAGTTCCTTTCAGCTTTACAAATAGTCTCCCAGCAAGATAAGATGACTGTCAATGCTTTGATGCCAGCCGCCAAGCAACCTGGCATCGAGGCCACCGCATAACGCAGAGGTTGCAAGCGTTTATCCGCTGCCGGCGAGCTTAAGCGGAATCGTCCTCATGCAAACTTGTTTCGACGGTAGGGTTACTTAATTGGCCGGTAAATAATCTAGTTGTTCGGCTATCTATGTGGTCAACCCCACAGAACTTCCAATGTTGATATCTGGTTAGTTGCCGCTAGATACTTTGGACTGGCCCCAAACTCTCTATACTTGGTAGACCTAATCCTACTACCTAGAAAGTCTACTGTCCAGCTGTCTCTTGTCGAGGCATTGCTGGGAGCTCGCGAGCGGAAGGTTACAGTAAAGCCTAAATGAGCTCTCCGTTACTGCATTACGGGACCATGTTTACTGACCGGCGGATCCCCTTCCGGAACTTCAAGTATCATAAACCAAGTAGGAAATCAAACAAAATCCAGGAGCAACTCTTCGTATCGACATCAAGCCTGTGGCCTGACCGTGTTGCGGAAAGCTAACTTGCTGATTGCATCAGCCAGTGAGAAACAGGGAGACGCGTGGAAGCAGCCGGAGCTCAGAAAAGTCACCGATATGCTAACATAGCTAGGTAGGTACCTGGTAGTTACATTAACTGAGATGGAGGTTTGTCACTTCACAAGTCTCTGGAGTTTTGCGCCCCATTCAAAGTTAGTAAGTAATTCAAATCAAAAACCCATGCCCGAGAAGGATGTGAGACGTCTAGGGAAAACCCACAGCCAACCCTCAACTGTATCCCGAGATCTATGAAAAATGTGCTTTCGCATTCTAATTGAGTTACAAGTATGGGATCCTGAAGGTACGCAAAACATGAGATGGGACTCTTATGCCTAGGGCCGGGAATGGACATTCGATGTGAATCATGGCAGCCTTTGGACGCCAGTTCAGTTCTGTCGAGCTTTGCTTCCCCAGGCTCCCATTTTCCCGACGATCAACGCTACATCAGTCATCAATAGGTAACTACGGCCTCGTAGCCCTTCCAGAACTCCTGTTCCATCTTTATAAACAACGACCGAGCCGCATCACGATCCATAAAGACCACCATCTCACCGATTGCCAACCTGGCCGCCTCAGAAGACAGCCAGCTGCCCAGGTACATTATGCCCAAGATGCACCTAAAGAACTGCCACCAAGTGGTGAACATGATAATACTGCCATGACCACCGTTGATATGTGGAACATGACGTCTAGGAAGCTGAGACCCATACTGTACAGCAGTCGCAAAGTCGTAGACGCAGTAGACCAGGGAGTAAAATCCTGTCTGCATCACCCACCACCAAGGCTCACACTCCGATTTCGGTGGGTTTACCTTGGCCGTCTTCTTGCCTCGATTTGTTGTCGCAGATACAGCAAACTTCGCTGTAATCATGTTGGTACTGCAAGGCACTTTGGTTCGCAGAGAAGAAGAAAGAGCGGCTCAATCCGGAGGAAAGTATCGCACCTGGTCCGAATACCTCATCGTTTTCACGTTGCTAATTTCTTTATAACTTGCACTGTTCCTCCGATAGATCTCTCAATGTAGTTGTGGGCAAAGCGGCGTCGTTTTTAGCGGTGTCTTTGCTCTTGACCCGAGCAAAATAGCAGTTCATCATCTCCTTCAAACTCATAGCCGTTGGGGTCCCATCGGCGACTTCTGAACCTTGTCTTGAGCGGAGGCTCGCAAAGCCGGAGACGTTACCAGCAATGCCTTGAATTGGGTAATCACATGAGATGCTGTCACCACGGCTATGCTGATCATTGTCGTCCATATCTAGCTCAAGTGAGTGTGTTCCCTTTTCCTCTTCCTTCCCCATCAACTTCTGTAGATCCTTCAATTGGTGTTGAGAGCAGTTGGTGTTTCACTGACGTGTTCTTTTCCAGAGCGGCACTTTAAAAAATCTGTGGCAAGCCAGGTTCCTTATCCAAGAGATCGTGAGAAAAATTGGTTTAAAAGGGACTTGCTCGCTGCTTCCCCACTTATGTAAACACCTGAAAAGCTTGTTAAAAGAACGGAGCGCTCTGTGCATAAATCATTGATTACTGAATTCTTCTTACAACTTCTCGTGTTCTCCGTATGATGATTCGTCACTTTACTGATCGGGAAGACTTCTTGGGCATTTCGCAATAAATGACCATTCCATTTGTACAATGTTCCGTGGAAACCTACAGGTAGTTCTTCCAACTGTCTATGGGTGAACTCGAAATGTGGTCTATCAGATCTGAGCCGACATCAAGAGTTGATATTGGGAACGGAGGGGAGGTCACGATTCAATGTCTGTTGACGAGAAACACGTGGTCCCAATGTCTTTCAGACTATAGAGGGTGACTAGGATGGTACAACTCATCAGTTTCGCCCAAATATCCACCTCCCTTCGACCGATCTTAAAATGGGTAGCGCTGTCAACCTTCTAACTCCCCTCCCGTACTCATCAACTACCCAAAATGGCCAAGTTGACATGGAATCCCTCCTCATACTGCTTCGCTGCCGTGATGACATCTCACAGTCAGCATTACCTGTGATATCCCTCTGGAGCAACTCAGTATCCGGACAGCCAAATGTATGACTTGATATTCTGTCCTCTCTCACTACCATGTCATCTGATCCATACCCACTACTAATCTCCTCGCTAGCGCTGGAGTGGTGACTCTCTTTCCTTCTGCCTAACCTCCTCTGGCACTCTCTCGTTGAAGCCTCTAGTCCTTCTGGCCCCTTTTCGGCCGCGAACTCGCGCACGCTTGCCGCGCGAACGTAACACCAGTATGCCTTGTCCCATTGGGCCATTCGGCGGAAACAGTGGCCGCGGAAGAGCTGGGATTTTGCAACCAGCTGGGGTTGGTCGTGGTACGAAGCGAGGTCGAGGGCGTGATCGGCGTGGAAGAGAGCTGTGGCTATCCTTACTCTAGAGCCGGACAGGACCGAAGCGGTAGGCCTCGGGCACTGTTCCCCTTGCCATTGTGAGATGCAGTGGTCATAGTTGAAGTCAGCGGTGCTTCCACACTCGAGAAGGATCTTGCAGCGAATAAGCGACTTGTTGATAGCTCTGGTTGATTCGATCCTAGCGGCGGCAGAACCTCTGGACACTGATCCACCTCGTAGGTGCGCCATTCCAGGGGCTTGGCGGAGTAACATATACAGAACGATAGAATATTTCGCCTCTGATCAGATAGGACCAGCGATCAGGTGTGCAACCGGGTGCATATCATCGTCAAAATGGCTTTATCGATGCACCACGGAAACGCACAGGAAGAGTGAAAAAAGAATGGGGTTATAACCGCCATTTGTCATTTGTCGTGTCATATCCGTAACTGAAAGCTTCATTGATCAGAGAAGCCTCTGGACAAAGGGACGGCCTGTGATCAAGGCGCATTCTCGTAAAGGGATACGGACGGAGGAGGCGGAGGGGAGACCAACAAAGGAGAATGCGCTTACGAAGCGTATTGGGTCATGGCCGAATGAAATCAGATGAGATGAACCGTGCCTACCCATCATGGCGTTGTTGGTCTTTTTCCCTTTGACATCGTAGGTGGTTCTGTCAAACATTCCAAGTAGTCCAAGTATTTTGCAACATAGAAAAGATAATGCTTCGGCGGTGTCAAGCGCGATAACACCCCCTGTCGAGTCGTGTATCTTGGTTGGGGAGGATGGCGGCAGGCAAATCTAGGTATGTCAAAGAGAGCAATGCAACATTAAAGCAGGAACCAACGACGTGCCCCCATCGGGAAGTATGCCGCACATGAAACCGTCGGGATCTATGCCAACTCTACTTTACTCCAAAAAGGCATCCATCTCTTGCGAACAAGTCCTCGCCGAGGTTGGGTATTCGAGCTCCCTGCAGCCTCACTCAGGTCATCCCTTTGTTTGTTGGCACGTTGGTTCGTGGGTTCCGCACTTGGTCAAGAAGACACCCAGAATCGGCACTTGCCCATCATCGCTCGACATTAACGCCCGGAGCGACGACGGCGGCATACACTCCAGCCCCTTGCCACTCAACCTTATTCTTACTCAAGGTCTTTGTCATGGAATATACAGCCCCTGTGCTGCCAATGAACGAACTGCGCGCCTTGCTTTCAGAGGTGGCTTCTCAACACGCCGACAAAGTATTCGCCCACTATCCATTCGAGTTCTTTCCCCGTGTCGTTTTCGACGTGAGGTGGCAGCAAAGTCCTTATCTCGGCAGGTATCTGATCAGCAACTTCAAAAAGGGCTGGTTTGTCTACCTTTTCTGCGGCGTCAACGCGGCCGTCTTCGCCATCTGGCGATACCCTTCTCTTCTCGACCTCCCTTCCAGGCTCATTTCCTCTTCTCAAACAAAACAGCAACGGCAAGCGAGGAGTGGTAGAAGCAGTAGAGGTCTGGGCAGTAACGTAAGAACCATCCACGATCTCAATAGGGATCAGGGAGGCGCGAGCTCGGAACGATCTGGATCCTTTCTTAGCCTTCAGAATGAGGCCAATCACTTGCAGACCCTTCGCCGCCACTTCACTATCTCTCTTGATAACACTGCCCAGGGCCGTTGGTGGACCATTCTCGGCGGGGCTGTCTCGCACCAGGATCTCGACCATATTGTCAAGAATCTGACCACCTTCATCAGCGTAGCCACCATCGGCATCAACAGAGGTCTGTCCAACGGCCAGCTTTTTTGCGTCTGCCTGGGCTCTGCCGTCGCTGGGTCCGTGGCACAGCTATGGCATTTTACACACAAGATGAAAAGAGATCGCCAGAGCCGTCGGCGAGGAGTTATCATGACCCGTTACGGCTTGGGGGCGAGCGGTATCGTGAGCGGATTGAGCGTCGCTGTGGCTGTGGTCTTTCCATATACTCAGGTGCAAAAGTTCGCTGGAATGCTGCCGATGCCGCTGACGCTGCAGTTGTGGACGGTACCTTTGATCAGCTTTGCCTACGATATGTGGATGCTGAACGATGAAAGCTCAAAGATTGGACACGGGGCGCACCTTGGTGGTGCCATTTTCGGGGGACTTTACTCCTTCTTTGCATTGAGAAGGCTCACCTCTACAACTTACCGGTGATGATGTGGCACATGAGCAATGCATGAGCGCGTACTATTATTCGAGTTGTTCAGGTTCCTGTAAGGAAACATGGGGCGGGCTAGCTAGGCACTGTGATCGCCGTGGGCTTTTCAGGTTTCGCGATCAGTTCAACAGCACGCGTAGAGCGCAGACCATGTTCGGTTATCTAGGTTGACCATAACCGTGATGTTGGTCCAAAGGAAAAGCAGTGTATTTACAAGTATCTCTTAGCCACAACGCCGCGTACAAAGGAGTGGTATCATGATGAAAGAACAAAAACTGAAATCCCCCCCCCACGAAAAAAAAAAAAAAATAATAATAATAAAAAAAAAAAATTTAAAACGAAGAAAGAAAAAAAAGAGAGAGACGAAGGAGAGAAAAGAAAACAGGGGAGCGAGAAAGTAAAAGAATAACTGGTAAACATTTGTACCGACCCATCCAGGTCGACCTTGAGTATGCCGCCAAAAAGCAAGTTCAACTTCGACACGAGAAATCAAAGTGATCAGACACAAAACGCGGACACACCACATAAATTTGCCGAAGCCGTCCTGTCTCTTAAGCAGATAATGCTCAAGGTAAAATTGGGGCAGAAGCAGCAGACTAAGGACCTGCAATTAGCTCCAAAGTGCATCAGGGTCAACAAGCTTCTGCGCCTCTCGAGGCGTTCTCCTCGGCGTGTCGGCCGGCATAGATCCTGAAAGGGGCGGGCTTCCCGCTTCGCTGGGCACGTAGGGTACAACCTGAACCGGGGTAATCTCGTAGGGAGCCCGCTGGTACACGCGCTTGTCTTGCGGCGACGCCAACGGCGGCGGGGGTATTTGCGAATATATGGAATGGTATGACCGCGGATATGGTTGCGCAATCATGGGAGATGCTGGAAATGGGTGTGAGATGGCTTTCTTTCTGTGCTGGCTTGTCGATGGCCGCCAGTTGCGTAGCGGCAGATCTGATTCATCGCTTGCAAGCGTGAACGGGGCAGTCTCAGCCCAAGATGATCCAAAGGCCCTCCCGACGGGTGCCACGGAGAGAATAATAGCGGCGACAAGTACGAGGGTATCATCAAGTACCAGCGAGACGATCTGGGATTGCACGAGGCCGCTGGCGAGCCCTCCAGTAAATGCAGCCAATCGTATAGCTGCTCTTACTAGCAGAAGCACTGAGGCTGCTTGTACGCCTGTTATGGTTGTTAATTAGGCTCTGTTTCTGTAACACAAGGGGAAGGCCCGCAACTTACAAAGAAGAAATTTCTTGAAGTAGGAAGACAAGTAGACCATAGAAAACGTGGGGTCGAAGATAAACCGGCGATGGGATAACTTAAGCCGGAAGTACCAGTAGCCACCCAAGAAGAGGGCAAGACTTGTCAACTGTAAGGCCAATCCTGTCAACAGGATGTTCAATCCCTGATGTCTCTGCAGTTGCTGGGTTAGCGAGCCGCTGTCCAGGTGCTACCGCCAGGGTTTCAGAGTATCAACACGTACCTCAAGCTCGGTATCGCTCGTAGCCGATAGAGCAATCCCGATGGACTGGAAGGCCAAGGTGAAGATGTCGAGCGCCACAAATACAATATTACAGTAGATTGGCTCATGGATAAGACTGAACTGCTCGCCATAGATGACCATGACATGTGGGAGAACCAGGTAGACGGCGGCGCTGATGAATGTCGGTCCCCACAGTGTCCCTATCATATATAGCAGGAAACGGCCTTCGCTGGCAGGGTTCGACCGCAGCAGTATTTTCCCAGCATGACCCACAACCTCGAGAAGTAGGCCAAGCGTGGCCAATACGGCATAAAGGGGCGTTTTGTAGCGGACCCCGGTAAATATGTTGATAGGGATCAGGGCGGCGAACGCAGCAAGCATAAAAGCATTACTGGCAGGGGATGTCTGGTATGACAAGAAGCCACTGGGGATGGGACATGATGTGTCGGAACTGCAGTCTCGGGCGGTCAACATATTGTCAGATTTGGAGCCGCCTGTGTGCTCATCGATGTTGACAGAGTTGAATGCCGGGTCGACATACGGGATGGACGACATGCGACTAGGAAGCGACATAAACATAGCCGTCGGGCGGTGGCGCGCCCATCGCAGAGATATATCCTCAACCCAGTACCCATCCCACGGGCCAATTCGGCAGGATGCCTTTCCAGCCTCGTCTCGACACTGACCCGACAAACTGGAACCCCGTAGTACCGGGCGCTTAAGGTCCGTGTTCGAGAGGAGAACCAAAAGGTGAAGATGGCAGATTGCCGATCAGCCAGGAGCGCACCTGCTGCCGACACAGTACGAACAAGACACCACCTGTATAGTAACTAGTGAATGAGTGCCGGGCCGTTGTTTGTTTCAGTCATGTTTGCCGGGCAGCACCTTAGGATTGCCATGGTCAATAACCTTGATGTTGTGTTCTCCAATATCGCAGAAACCTTGGCTCTTTCTGTAAACTGACTTGTATGTGCCTCATACTCGTCCGTCAGTAGCAGGGAGCATCATGACACGCGAAAGAATCTTGGTTCAAAATGAAGTCCCGGTCGGCCATTGCATGCGAAATCAACGCTCCGACATAGACACACTGAGTGACATGGTCAAGAGCCAACAGCGAACACTGCAGTGAAGTGGGGTTTGGGGCCCCAAGGGGCATTGGAGATGGGTCTGTCTGACCGTCTGGTCGCGCTTGTCTTGATGCCATTCGCAACCACTGCCGTGAAGGCGTTGGATCGGCTACAGCGTTGTATCGGCATACCCACGCATGGTGCACAGTCAAGACATCTCTCTGCCTAGCCGAGCCCTCCAAGCCCATGTCTTTTCCTGCACGAGACGCGGGATGTGAATGCTTGGTTGCATGAAGGCTGGTGGACGTTGGCTGGTGTTGGTCGGCAAAGGGTTACAGTCTTTGTGACAGCGTCTCAACTGGCCAATGGGGGGCTTGTTGCTGCCCTGGTGCTAACGCGGCAGACTACCAATGACGATCAATAGTGTCGAGACTGGAACGCTCACATGCCATTGATCTGTTTAACCGAGCCAAACGCCCTTAAGCGCGGTACAACCGTGCCCATCTACTGCGGAGAGGTGCAAGTGGAGGTTG